AAATTAAGCACAAAAAAGGCCTTCTAAGGCGATTAATGTCGACGGCTCGAGTGTATTTCCACCTCAGAGATGATAACTTAACTGGAATGACATAAAAATAGGATTGTATCTCCTTGCATGCATACTCATGCGGAGGTATAAAGGTCCAATTTGTGTTATCCGTTTACCTAAACGTCATGATAGTAAATAAGTAGTATTACACCACTGATAGTAACAAGTCACAACCCACCCTTAATTCGTCTTCTCTTCCACAAGTTGCACTTACCTTGATTGTTTTTAGCCTCATCAAGAACCGAAAAAACCTTTCTCACCACATTCATTGCTGCTTCTTTACAAACCAAGTGAATGTCTGATCCAGAATAGCCCTTGGTTAACTAAAATTAACCTCAGATAACAAAAGTATTCAATGTCCTACCTCTGCCATGTGTGCATAATCAATCTGTGCAGTTAAGTGAGGTGTGCCAACTTGGGGCATTTTCGGTTTCGGTGGAAGAAGATTTTCAAACATCCTTTTTCTTGCATCAAAATTGGGCAAACCCACCAAAATCCGTTTTTCTAACCGTCGTAGCATCGCGTGGTCCAGTTCCCTTAAATGAAACCATAAATCAAGCCTACTTAATTAAAAAAAGTAAAACAGATTTCTTTAAATATCCACTTGTGCAGATGTAATTGTATACCTCAGTATTACATCAAGCTGCTCAGAGAGTATTTACCAGGGTATATTTGAAGCCGCCAGAAGAAATACAAGGTCATCAGACTTGGCTAAACCATCCATTTGAATCAAAAGTTCCGTTTTCATGCGTCGAGACCCCTCGTGCTCTCCCAGACCCACTGCACCTACGCCATCGCAACCTCTTTGTGACATTAACGAGTCCAATTCATCCAGGAATATCGTCGATGGTGCATGAAAACGAGCCATTTCAAATAGGACCTTAAAACGTGGAGCTAAAGCATCGACCTACACGAACAAGTTTTTCGGAATCGCCTCGCCATTTGCTAACAATTGAAGATGCTGAGATATTAAAAAATGTAGTTTTACATTCCGTTGCTACGGCCTTTGCAAGTAAGGTTTTACCTGTTCCTAAAATTTACATGAAAATTGGTAACTTGTTTGTGCCTGGAGGTCCATAAAGTAAAAGACCTTTCCAAGGAGATAGAATGCCTACAAATAACTCTGGATACTAAAAATGCAGCATTCATCCATTCAAAGCTATTTTCTTACAGAAAGTGGGTAAACAACAGCCTCCTTAACTAGCTGTTTGGCTGTCTCCAAACCCACGATATCATCCCAGTGCACGTTTGGGTTTTGAAGGTATATATCCTATTAAAATAACTATGCTTGAAAATTTGTCCCAAAACTGACTCGTGATATGGTTTGGGCGAGTTCTGCCCATTCTGGAGAATAGCCAGCGAACAAACCCAGCGGCTTAAGTATTCGTTCCTAAGGTGCTTTGTGTGTATTTCGGAACGGCGCTCACCTGTGACATCTGGCCTTCACAAGTAGCATTATTTTCGTTGCTTAAAAGCAGTTGGTAATCAATCAGGGGAGCGCCTCTTGTTGACTTATTTACAACACGTCCCTCAGCCACAATGTCCGAAAAAGACTCATGCAAAGTTTGGCTGCTGTCACAATTTTTCGCGTCTTCCTTGGCCAATACCTCTGTTGTCCTTCTAACCTTAGATGAAGCTGAACATGGTAATCTTTTTTTATTTGATCCAGAGTTCGTGCTAATATTCGGCAAAAAAGATTTCCTTGTATGGTTATTTTGACAGTTTTACCTACTTTGACCGCCTTTCACCATCGCATGCTAAAAAATCTTTAAATAAAGCTAATTATTTGCATGCATTCACAATACCATCCCTTTTTCTTGATATTCGAGGGTATTTACTAAATTTTACGAAGTAAAAACTTTCAAATTCCATCAAAATTGTATCGAGATCAATGTTGTCACATATAGAATAACCACTAAAATCAATGTTTGCCTCAGTTTTGAAGGCCTCTGCCGTGTTAAGGTATCTAAACGGTCAATTTTTAATGATCTTACCCTTCTTCCGTCAAAAAGTTCATAACAAGGAGAAGAAGATTCTTCTTTCGACTCTGTAGACGATTTGAATCCTAAATTTAATCATTGATGCTACTAATTACTGCTTCCCTGGCTCTATTGGCTGTGCAAATCATCTGATAGCTTAGACTACTCATCTTATGTGCTTTGAAATAGTGCCGACGCTATACCATCCCGTTATCAATTCAAACTTTAGCAGCAGAGAGAATTTGTTGGCGTCTTGCACTTAAATTCGTCACTAAGAAATAAAACAATTTCGATAAGTCGTTATCGCAAAACTGAAACTCGGAAACGTGAAAATCGAAACGAATTATATTAAATAATAATAGGTTCTTTTATGAGCAAACTAAAAGCACAATCATTTGTTCTTGCTGTGAACCCATTTATTAGATTTAAAATACAACAGCTAAATAACTAAATAAAGTAGCTTGTTAAAATTTTTGAACGAGGGTTTCTCAATTCCATAATTTAAGTTGGATGCACTACTGAGCCATTGGTACTTTGAATTGGATGCATTCCTTAGTGGCTCTTGTAAGACTTAAAGTCGTTCCTTAATTTGAGGTTTAAATCATGCATATGGCATTACAAGACTTTTTCATGAAAGTTAGGGCATATTTGTAGCGTTCCAAAGCTCTTCAAAGGTAGACAGAGGCATTAAGTAGGGCCGAATGCTTGCATCCTAGACGAAAAGGAAGCATTGGATTTTAGCCTAGTTCAAGAGCCGTCCAACGCGCGCACGGGCAGAACCAATGCCACCGTAGCCGCCAGGCATTTGATGGTCACACTGACAAAATATTACAATGACCCTCTCCCTATGAGCGACGTTCTCTATACAATGAAACATCCACGAACCAACCTGGCCAGTCATTAGTTATCACGCGGCTAAGGAATTGCACTTGGCCTTCTGAGCAACTTCAAGTGATAATTAATGCTACGTTACTTCTGAGATCAGAAATAGCGAGAATTGGTTGTTGACCATCATTTGTATGCAAAACTAAACGCTGGACAACTGACCTTAAATAGATACAAAAAGGAAAACGGGACCAAATACAGCCCCATATAGAAAGGATTTGGGGATTTCTGTTTAGAAAGTTTTCCTGGTAGTTCACTGTGGTGTCGCTTCAGTTAACAACAGCTTGTCTGTGGTCCATGGGAATGGAGTAGAGCCGAACGCAGATAAAACCTTTCAACTCCTTTATAGTGCGAATCACAGAGAACCCCGCGCCCATACTGTATGTGTTTCATTTACGCCGTATACATTGCCCCAATCGGTCAACTCTAGGATAGAAGTCGACCACAAACTTCGGCATCGCTTCGCACTGTGACTTGTGCGGAATTTAGGTAAAAGAGGGCATGAAGTTGGATTGACTGCATACAGTCTATGAGGAAACGAAGGGATTAGACGTTACTTTAGTCCTAAGGCCAGTCCACACTTACAAGTGCATGACGAACAGGAAAGTAACCGCCAGACATACCATTGACCGCATAAACCAGCAGCGCATTGTTATTTAATTAAAATGCATGTGTTCTTCACTGGGCGTAGCACCCTGAAACTTCCTCATTCATGGACATGAGGCGCTGCAGCACTAAGGAAGGAGTTTGTTTCTCTTGTCAG